GCCTCTAGGCGCCTCCAGGACGGGCCAGGCACTGCGCTAGGTGCAGGGGCCCAGAGGCTGCAGCGCAAGAAACAAGGAGATCGCCATGGGTCCCCGCCTAAGGACGCACTAGGCCTCCAGATTCCAGCCCGGAATTGCACGGATACTTGTTGGAAAGGCAGATTCTCGCGCCTCGCCTGCAAACGCGGGAGGATCTCTACTCTAAATCGATGCTTCCTTAACCCCACCTGCTTCAGGACCCTCCCAGGAATCTGACTGACCCGCCGTAGCCCAGAAAAAAATGCGCATATCGCCCGAGCCGGTTTGGTTCAGTGGAGAGAGCGTTGGCCTGCGGACTAAAGGGTTGCAGGTTCGCTCCTGGCCAAGGGCATATGCTGGGTTGTGGGCTTGATCCCCAGTAGGGGACATGCAGGAGGCAGCCTATCAATGATTCTCTCTCATCATTGATGTTTCTATCTCTCTATCTATCTCTCTTCCTTCCTCTCTAAAATCAATAAAAGTATATTTTAAAAAAAGAATTAGGGCATATGTAGTGTAACCACATAACTTGGTGCCCAAACCCTGACACTTTAAAGAGTAAAAAGGGAAACTATTAATAATTATACTGAACAACAGGTGTAAACAGAGACTGTGGTCACTCTTGGTAGAAGGAGCACTGTGGGGGAACACAGAGGATGGTGGGAGCACCTGGGGAAAAACCTGCACTTCTGTATGATGTTGTGAGGAGTACAGCGCAGCCCATGGAGGGGCTGGGACTGGCGTGTGGCTAGAGTGTCAGGGACTTATTGTGGCATGCAAAGAATGCCAACTAGTTCCTCCAGCATTGGGCACCTGTGGAGCTTTCTCAGCAGGAGAGCACCAACCGGAAAACAGCTCTAGCAGCCAGGTGGAGAAAAGAGGGGAAAGGGGGGTTCAAAGAGTTGATTCCAGAAGTGGGGGTACCGCTGGACCTTCCAGGGAAGAGCAGTTCCTTGGCACGAGTGCCCCCAGCCCCTGCCCAGGAAAAAGTAATCCCACAGTGAGCTCAGAAAACTCTGGAATCAAACCTGTGCACAGTGGAGAAAGGGGTAGGGATGGGGCGGAGAATCTATATAAATACAGACGATCCCCTGGGGGACCCAATGCGTTCACACACGTTCCAGCTTCCCTTTTAAAAATAACATCCACAGCTGGTGGAAAACGGCTGGGCCCTTCCAGTGTGTGTGTGTGCTGGGGAGGGGAGTTGTGCAATGGCGGACAGAGAGACCCAGAGTTGGGGTGGGGGGGGGCACCAAAAGGCACCATTTTTAAAAAGTGCCTGCCGTTGGCTTATGCCTGCTCAGAATATTCAGTACCCAGGGGTGTGGCAGAAGGGTGACTCTTCTAGTTTCAAAACTCAAAAAAGAAAAAAAAAGTCCAGTTCTTGAATTTGGGGGTGGGGGGGGTGGGGAAAGAATTCGGACATTGAAGGCAGGCATGATAGATTTGTTATTTTCTTGAAAAGTAGTCAAGTAGGCAGAGCCCAGAGCCAGCTGCCAGGCTCGGAAGCATTCTAAGAAACCTGTTTTCCTTCTCTCCCTCACTCCCCCCACCTGAGATTTTTCTTCGGAGCTTATGCCGTTAAGAAAATCGGACTGTGGCCGCTCCAGGCGGACTTCTGGCCCGACCAGGGCGAAGTAATTCCGTTTGAAATGATGTTTTCACTTCCTCACAACTGGGGATTTCACAATCCTGCAGCAGCAGAAGGAGGGGGGCGGGGAGGATGGAAGGAAGAGAAGAAAAAAAAAAAAGCCAACAACAATCCCTTGCTTTGGGATTTCTATCTCTTCTGAAATAAACTGCTTCCTACAGCGAATTGCTGTGGAGTCGGGTCCGTAATTATTATCTCCCACAGCCTGTTTGCTTTCTCAGCGGTTCTGTTGCCCGCCGGCCAAAATAAACAGGCGCTGCTTGTTGACACGCATCTTTGGAGACAGGCTGTGCCTTCCGTCCTTCTCCTCCACTCTCCTCTCTCCTGCCTCACGTCGGGAGTCCACAAAGTCTCCGTGTTTCCGCTGCAGGAGAGCGGCTGGGGTGGAGGGGTCCGGGGGACCGGGATGGACTGACTGCATCCGGTCCAAAGCTGGCTTACCTGAGCATCCGTGAGGCCCAGCATCGCCGCCAGCTGCTTCCGGTCGGGCTTGGTCACGTACTTCTGAATCTCAAACCTCTTCTCCAGGCCTTTCCTCTGCAGGTTGGAGAAGACGGCCCGTGACCATGAGCGCTTCCTCTTGTAGGTCTGGGGCATCGTGTCCTTGGTGAGCACGGCATAGGGACCTGCGGGGTGGGGGTGAGGGGTGGGAGCAAGAGAGAGACACACAGGGGGGCCAAATTAGCGCCCTGGGCCTAGGGCTCACGGTGCTGCTTAAAACTGGTCTGCTTAACCCTAGGCCCTCCCCGCATTCACAAAGCCCTCCTCCAAGGAGGAATTGTCCAGCTTTTGAGAAGGTAATGGAAAGGCCTAAAGCAAGTGTATATAGTGAGCTGAGAAGCCCAGCGGGTCACCCATTAATTCCAAAGGGAAACATGTAAGGCTGATGTTTGGCCTTCAGGCACGGGGAAGGCAGGCGAAAACGTCCCCCAGGCCTGAATGGGGGTGGGTGGGGGGTAATGTGGGGATAAGGACACATATGTAATAACTTAATCAATAAAAAAAATTTTAAAAAAATGTCCCTCAGGCCTGAAGAATCTAGAGATGCCGGCCTGGATACTCTCTCTCTCTCTCTCTCTCTCTCTCTCTCTCTCTCTCTCTCTCTCTCTCTCTCCTCTCTCTGTTGTGTGTGTGTGTGTGTGTGTGTGTACACTAATGCGCCCAGGCAAGGAGCATCGACGATGCAAATTGGAGCAAAAGGGTTTGAAGTCATTTCAAAATCTGTGTGTATGATCCTAACCAACGCCTCTTGCAGCTGCATTTTCAAGCAGCCCCTCTCCCGAGAAAGGACTAGAGAAATCCCCCCCACCCCATCCCATCCGCCCCGCACACACTTTCTGGGCTCCCCAGGCTCCCACCTCTTCCCTGTGGCAGCGGGGGGCTGGGGGGGGGGAGAAAGAGAGAGAGAGAGAGAGAGAGAGAGAGAGAGAGAGCCAGCTCCCCGGGAGAAATCTTTCGGTTTCTCTCCCCGGATGAGGTGGCCTCCCCGCACCAACTCCGGGATGGCCACACCGCCGTCGCCACGGGAGGCGTCAGTCCCGAGTTTTCTGATGGGCGCGGACTCGCCCGGAGGAAGCTCCGTACCTGGGAACGTGTCTTGAAACTGATGCTGGACTGAATTCCTCGGGTTGGAGCTTAAGGGGCTGAGGATGGCAGAAGCCTCGTTAATAGGGTCTAGAGATGCGAAGAGCTGGCCGGCCGAGGGCTGCAGGCCCGGGAGGTGCAACCCCGCGGGCCGCCCGCCCGTCAGCAGGGACGTGAGATCTGGGGACCAGGCAAGAGAAGAGCGGATTACACGTCAGGCAAACCCACACCCTTTGGGCTGGTGTGTTCCTCCCCTCCCGCGCCCTGTCTCCAATCCAAGCCCCTCTCTCCCGATTGTGGACAAAGGGGCGATGCGCGACATGTCCCCTCTGTCCGTGTCCACGCGGTTATAGCCGGGAAGGCCTTGACATTAAGCCGCCAACACGAAATCGCTCTCAGGTGCCTTTGGAGAATCCCAGCCCTAAACCCTCCGCCGCCGGAAGACCTTGCTCTGCTGTCTCCTCTGGGGAGTTGAGAGCCCATTTGTTTCGCCACATTCCTTGCGTGGAATTTCTCTCTAAATCAGACAAATGATGGGAAAGTGCTCCCCAAAAGGGCTTTCCCTAACAAATAACAGTTTCCTCTCTAGATACGTGATTAAAGACAAGGGATGGTCACTGTAGCAAATGTTCCCAATAACAATTTGTATGCGCATTGACTCTGTGAAGAGTGGTGTGTGTGTGTGTGTGTGTGTGTGTGTGTGTGTGTGTGTGTAAAACATTCCTAGGGCTTTTTAAATTTTTACATAGAGCAGGTGAGTTTTAAACCTGGAGTTTCAGTCTTCCCACAATTGATTTTCTTCTCCCCCCTTTTAGCAATGTGTCCTTCATTGTAAAAAAAAAACGCTCAAAGGTACCCCGAATGGCCCTGGGACCCCGGGTGATTCAGGGCCCTGGTCAGAGGCCTGAGGCCTCTAGCCCAAGACCTACCTACCTCTCAGCGTGTTGCCTTCTTTGACTTTCGGGTCAAATTCTGCAGACAAAATGCGGTCAATTCCAAATTTGAGGTCCTTGCTGGAGGGGGCTGGGGCCGAGCCGCTGTGGTGAGGGTTGGGGACCCCCCGCGCCCCGGAGGCCGGGCCCGCCACCCGGGGAGGAGGTGGAGGCTGTTGCTGCAGCGGTTGCTGTTGTTGTTGCTGCTGCTGCTGCTGCTGTGGGTGGTGGTGGTGGTAGGCGGCCGAGAGCGGGGACAGTCGCTGCGGGAAGCCAGG